AGTCGTTACTTAGATATTGCCTTGAGAAAATCTTCCCACTTCTATTTTGCATGAATCTCGCGTATAATAGGCACGGTGTGCTCGCGCAGTTCGAGCGCAACTTCGTTGCGCGTGAAACTTGGCGCGAGGCACTACCGTGCCTCTTGATTAAAGTTGAACAATTCTGCAAACGCTTTATAAAATTTTTGACTTGTCTATAAAAATAAACGTCACACGATTGACATAAAGATATGCACTTATTTATCCGCTGTTTATGAACACAATTAGCAATTAATAATAATCTATTTATTTTTACTGTATTTTTTAGATCACAGAATTTTTATGCAAAAAATGCACTTTTATAATATGCAATAAATAAAAAAACGTTACTTACATTTAGAATAAACAAATTACTCACATTTAGATTATATTGTAGAAGTTTGAAGAGAAAAAAAAAGTACATTGATTTGCTGCCTATGCACGAACAAAATATACATGGTGTCGGGAAATGAGTTTATTTATAAAACTTTTTTTGTTCAACGTTGTAACAAACAACGAGCGATGGCTAAAACTTGATTGCTGTTCAGGGAGATGTCCTTGACAACATATGTCAAGATCATTGACCTCTAAACATGCTCCGATTGTATAAATAGTTACTTAAATTGTTTATTTGTTTCAGCATTGTGATGTTTTATATTTATTTAGTTTTGATCGTAAAATGTAAAATGTAAAAAGGTAAAATTAATTTGATATGTTGACAGATAGACCATTATAAAAGCACTGAAAAGTTAAAACAAATGGAAATTTTTGATTATAAAAAACGTCTGACGGAAGCTGAAATAAAATATCAGCAGCAGCAAAGTTTATTTGATACTATTCATGCGGAGCGAAATCTATGCAGTAAGAGCCTCGTTGAAGCGCAAGAAGAACTACGAGAGTTGAAAAACAAACTAAAGATTATAGACCACCAGATTGAGCAAATGAAAGAGGACATAACAACAAAAGAAGCTAGTCTTATCAAGAAAGAATTTTGTGAGTTGTGCTAATTAAAAATCTCAAAAAATATGTTGTTCGTTTTAGTTACTCGCTTTAATATATGGATCTGCACACATTGCGCATGCGATCAAATTATAAAATACGCAAATCACTTCCTTAATTTGTCACTGATTTTCTTGTTCATTTTTGTTATCGTTAATTTTTTGAAAGTTTATAGTGAACTTGTTATTATGTGCTTGCTTTTTTGCTTCAATAAAATTTTGTTCTTTTTTATTGTGTTGTACGACGTAGTATAAGGCGACATACTACTCCGTTATTAAATTACTATTTTGGTAATTATTGTATTATTGTATTATTGTGGTCGTGATTCTTATAAGTGTAATTATTATAATATATATTATCGTTCTTATGTAGATATTGTTAGTAACCTTTTAAGCTTTACGCGTCATTATAGTGGTTTCCTGCTAGGTAATCTTCCATAACAAATCGTCATTATAGTGACTTTCTGTTAAGCGACGTTTTAGAACAAATACTATTATAGTGACTCTCTTCTTTATCTCGCATTGAAGTCGTATACAATATTATTACAATAAAGGAATCTTTTTGTGTTTGTTATTAATATCGTTAATTCGTATTTCGCGGCAGAGCTGTACAGATATATAACCACGGTTAGTTCAGCCATAGCAAAAGAGTTAATTGAGTTAGTGAAATGCGAGTTAAGCATATTTTTTTAAAAGCTCTGCGACTGAAATCAGATGTCCAGTCAGCAGAGGCGAGCTGCTACCCGAAAACACGTCCGAGGACTAGGGTCGAAAGTTGTATGAACGAAAAGACGCAGTGATCAACATCGTACTTTTCGGAAGAGAGTCACATAGTTCTAAAACAAGGTAAAAAAAGGCGCCAAGTACTATTGACAGCTCACAAGAATTCGCTCTAGCCACAAGCTAACAAACGCGAGAGGCAAGGGGAATCGTCCGTCCGCTCCACCCAATCTCTTCTATTACTATTGACAGTTCACAAGAATTCGCTCTACCCACAAGCTAACAGACGCGAGGAGCAAGGGGAATCGTCCGTCCGCTCCATTCAATCTCTTCTATTAGGTGAACACGTATATATGTATATATATACACGTATAATTTACGCACAACACCTAGCGAACGGCTCTCATGACCGAATTTACATATATTTATTAGTTTGGAAAACTTCAGAGCCTTAAAAGATTCTTTAATTGTTTAAAATCACGCTGGAGG